CACAGCGAGAGAGGGAATACAAGCAGGGGGAGTGGGAGAGGGAGAAGCAGGCTGGCTTCCCGCTGAGCAGGGAGCCCGATGTGGGGCTCGATCCCAGGACCTGGAATCATGACCCGAGCCGAAGGCAGATGCTTAACGACTGAGCCACCCAGGTGCCCCCCAGCTGACTTTTCAAAGTGTCTACTATACTCTACTCCATTCTTCAGTGTGCAGGCCATTCCCTGAGTACACTGCGTTGTACACATTTATGTCACATGCCTTTGTCTTCCAGGTTGTTCCCTTGGCTGTAATGGCACTGTGGTCTCTGTGAGCAAATCATTCCCATTCTTGAAGCCCATCTCAGTAGAGCCTTCTCTCCCAACTCTACCCCCTATTGAATCATTCCTTTTCCAACAAGGTACCTTGTGTACTAGCATTTATTTAATTTATATCTCCTGTTACATGAAACACAGGTTCTAAGCACAGTCTCAGATTCCCTCAACCCCCTCTTCCTTCACAAAGGCGCCATCTGTCACCCAGCCCACAGTCCCGTTTTCTGCCTTGCCAGCAAGCCTTACTGCATTCCCTGAGCTTACTAGAGCCCAGGTTAAACAAGGCCCTTACAGCCTCCACACCAAGCCCTCTCTCTTCTGTCATTTCTCCACTTTGGAGTTGGAGGAGATGCTCTACTGCCAGCCACAGGATCAGGCTTTCTGAGCTGCCAATGAAGGGATGATCAGAAATGTGGAGGAGTAAGCTCCCACTTTGGGGAGGCTTAATTAATGAAACATAGGATAGGAGGGAGCCTGGCAGTAAAATTCTCCCCCTCCTTGCTCCCTTCTGTGGAGGACTGTCAGGAAAGGTTTGTCCTTTCAAGCCTTCCAGAGAAAGTTTAGCCCACTGAGCAAACATGTGCCAAACGACCCCTGTGTCTTCCTGGCTCATTGTGAACCCTGCCTATGAGGTAATCCATTACCTCACATTGCTTTGCAGCTCTTCTTGCTTCACTTCCCTTTTTTCCTCACCCTCACCAGTCTGTTTGCACATTTCCCAAATAAAACACTAGTACTTTAATCCTTGCCTCAGGCTCTGCTTTCCAGAGGACCTAGGTAAGATACTTAAGCATTTGTTAATAAATTGGCAGTCATAGGTTTTTAATTGTTCAACCATGTATAGGAGAGTGGGAAGCACCAGAGGTCTTCCTGATCTGACATTGAGATCCTACAATGTTTATACCTTTAGGAATACAGAAATGTCAATTATATTCAAGGTAACAATTTACCAGGAAGTATAGGCTGTAGACTTGTAGGTAGGCATTTACTCTGGGGGTTATTTCACATGACTTGGGAATAGTTTTTGGAGTCTTGGTGTCTTCCATGACCCATTTGTTCAGGTTAACACTTCCAAGGCTAAACTCACTTTATCAGATGGTAACAGTTAACGCATATTTATGCAAGTTAATATATTGCAGAGAACAAGGTTAATATTCTTGTGAAAATTCTCATTTAACTCTTACAAACTAATTTTATGATGCAGTGATCTCTTCCTCTGCAACTGTAGTAAAGGACTTAAAGACCGTATTTATTTATTTGACAAAGAGCGAGCACACAAGCAGGCAGAGTGGTAGGCAGAGGGAGAGAGAGAAGCAGGCTCTCTGCTGAGCAGAGACATGGGGCTCAATCCCAGGACCCTGGGATCATGACCTGAGCCGCAGACAGACGCTTAATGACTGAGCCACCCAGGCATCCTGAGATGGCTTTTTAAAAAAATTTTATTATGTTAATCACCATACATTACATCATTAGTTTTTGATGTAGTGTTCCATGATTCATTGTTTCTTCTTGGTTTTTGGTCTCTATTTTTGCCTTTTTTAGAATGTCATGTGAGTTTAATCATACAGTATATAGCCTTTTGGCTGTGATTTCTTTTACTTAGCATAATGCTTTTGAGATGCATCCATGAGGGGGATCAATAGTCAATTCCCTTTTTGTTGCTGAGTTAGTATTCTATTGTATGGATATATCAGTTTATCCATCTACCAGTTGACAGACTTCCAATTTTTGACTTTTGAACAAAGTTGCTATAAACATTTGTACACAGGTTTTTGTGTGAATATATGTGTTCATTTCCCTTGGACTGAGATTGCTATGAGGTAATTGTTAGATAATTTTATAAGAAACTGCCAAATGTTTCCAAAATGGCTGTACTAGTTTACATCCCCATCAACAGGGGATAGGAGTTCCAATCGCTCACATCCTTACTAGCACTTAGTATTGTCAATTTTTTTTATTGTACCTATTCTAATACAGATGTATTGTCTCATTGTGATTTTTAAAAGTTTGAGGGGGCGCCCTCATAGCTCAGTCAGTTAAGCATCTGACTCTTGATTTCGGCTCAGGTCATGGTCTCAGGGTCGTGAAATCAAGCCCTGTGTCAGGCTCCATGCTGGGTATGCAGCCTGCTTAAGATCCTCTCTCCTTCTCCTGCCCCTCCCCACCTTCCTCTCCAAAAAATAAATAAAAGTTTGAGATATAATTGACATGATATACTGTATGTTTTTAAATGTACAATTTGATACTTTTGACATGTATACAATCATGAAACCATTGCCACAATGAAGACAGAAGTATCTATTACCCCCAAGGTTTCCTTGTGTTGTTTTGTAATTCCCTTTTTCCACCCAAGGCCCCTTACCTAAGCAACCACTGATCTGCTTTGTGTGACTGCAGTTTTTTTTTTTTTTTTAAAGATTTTATTTATTTATTTGAGACAGAGAGAATGAGAGAGAGCACATGAGAGGGGGGAGGGTCAGAGGGAGAAGCAGGCTCCCTGCCGAGCAGGGAGCCCAATGCGGGACTTGATCCAGGGACTCCAGGATCATGACCTGAGCCGAAGGCAGTCGCTTAACCAACTGAGCCACCCAGGCGCCCATGTGTGACTGCAGTCTTAATGTTAGTGGAATCATACAGTATGTACTAGTTTTACGTCTGGCTTTTTTTATTCAGTGTGATTATTTTGAGATTCATCCATGTTACTCTATGTCACAATAGTGGGTTCCTTTTTATTGCCAAGTTGTCCATTGTATGGATATATGATTTGCTTATCCATTCACTTGAACATTATGGTTGTTTCCAGCTTTGGGTGGTTACAAATAAGCTGCTAAAAACTGAGCTGCTTTTTATTAATGTCTCTTTTTAATCAACTTTGAGGCATAATTTATAGTCTATAAGATACACTTTTATAGTGCATAGTATGAAGAATTTTGACAAAGTCCTACTCCCTATGTAACTAACACCACATCAAGATCTAGAACATTGGCTTCACAGCAAAGATTCCCTTGGGGTCCTTTCCAGTCCTTGTCTCCCACTCCTCCATTCCCAGCAATCACTCTTTTGCTTTCCAGTCACTCTAAGATAAATTTGTAATTCCTAGAGTTTTGTAGAAAAGGGATCATATGGTAATATATTAAATTCTAGTCTCTCACTTTTTTTTTGCTGAGCATGTTTTTTAGATTCATCCATGTTGCAAGTATTGTCAAGTACCAGTAATTCATTCCTTTTTGTTTCTGAGTAGTATTTCGTTGTATGAATTTACCACAATTTGTTTATCCATTGACATGTTGTTGGGCATTGGGTTGTTTCCAGTCTTTTGTATTAAGAGTAAAGTTGCTGTGAACATTCATGTACAGGCCTTTGTATGTACATGTTTTCGTTTCTCCTGGTAAATGCCAAGGAATGAAATTGCTGAGTAAATACACATTTGATTTATTAAGAAACTGCCACTCTTTTCTAAAGTGGTTATACTATTTTATAAAACTCAAACCAGCAATACCAATTGTGTTTGACAACACTTATACTATCAGTTTTTAAAATTTTAGTTATGTGGGTGTGTAGTAGTAGCTCATTATGTTTTAAATTTGCATTACTCTGCTATGATGTTAAGCGTCTTATGTGTTTATTAGCCTGATTCATGTATCTTTTGTAAAGTGTTCAAATATGTCACCCATTCATAATTAGGTTTTCTCTTATCGAGTTATAGGCGTTCTTTATATAGTCTGGATACCAATCTTTGGTCAGAATATCTTTTCCACATATATATTCCCACTGTGTTCAAACCCACGGTACTCTTTGCTATCCCTTAAATAGGGGAAGGCCTAGGAAAGGCCTTATGTGTCTCAGACCCTTTGAACTCTTTGTTGCCTGGAATGCTGTTCTCCCAAATCACACAGCTTGCTTTCAGACCTCCTCCAGTCACTGTTTAAGGGCCCTCTCTGGTGAGATCTTAACCATCCTATTTGAAATAGTAATACCCACGGCCAGGCATTCCTCCCTTTTCCTTGCTTTTTTTCTCCATAGCACATATCCACCCGACAGCTATATCTGTTATTTAACTGTATAAATTTACCTGTTTAAAGAAAAGTACTGCCCAAGATGAAATCCAACCTCCTCTCTTGGAAGCTGATACACTTAGGGATGAGAAATTTCTGAGCCTGCTAGATGCAGGAAGAGGTTGATTTCATCAGTGTCCTGTCACCTATCTTTAAGTACCGGAGACAAGTCGCGGTCCATTCCAGGAGATCCTCCCTAAATGACCGACCGCACCGAGAGCAAGAAGGGAACGAGTCCCTCCTGGCCCGCAAAGAACTGTAGCGGAAACGAAGGTGGAGCTCATCCTGGCCAACACTGTTCTTTGCTCTGGAAGAAACCGACGTCTCGCCCAACACGCGTCGGAGACAAGGCTGAGACCCGGCACTGAGAACTCGGCGTCCACTCCCCATGTCCTTACCGTCCCGGTAGCCGGAAGTGACGGACGGGGCCCCGGCTCTCCTTCGCGTCCGCTGACGGCTCAGGCCAGGGAAGAAGCGTGTGGGGAGGGGCGGACGCGGCTATGGCCCGGCTTCCGGAAAGTGAGGGCTTTGTTTCCGAGGGGAAGGTCTTCCGGGCGGACCGGGAGCGCGCGCGCGTGGGTCCTCCCGGGGCCGGGCGGAGAGGGCTGGGGGCGGGGCCCGGAGGGCCAGCTCCGGGCACGCAGCACGGCAGGGCCAGGCGCTGGCTCCCTGGCGTCGTGGAAGGGCCGAGGAGCGCGTCTTAGAGGGACTTGGACCGGCCCTGGTAAATGGACTCTTAACGGCGAGTTGAAGGGAGGGAGGAAGGAGTCGGGGTTCTGCCTGTCGGAGGGCAGAGCGGGGGCGAGAGCCCGGGGACCAGAAACCGGGGAGGCCGCTGCGGCGGTGGCGGAAAGAGCGCGGGCCCGACGCGGCTGCGAGCGGAGGAGGGAGAGACGGCCCCGATTGGAGGGGCTGGGGGCTTTATCATGCGAGCAGCGGAAGGACCAGCTGTGGCTTACTTTTGAGAGGATCGCTCATCTTGCCGGGTGGAGGTTGGATGATGGGAGGGCAGGAACTGCGAGGCGACCGTCCCTGGGAGGCCACAGCTGTAGTTGAGCGAGCGAGGTTGCTGGGGGCGGTGGGTATGGGCGAGAAGTGGAAGGGTCAGAGTGATACCTAAGAGGTAGGTATCCAGCGATGATTCTAAGTTTCTGGCCTAAGTGGGGGAATTACATTTTGACTTTTGCCAGGGGTCCTTTTTCCCCTAGTGTGAAAACATAAACAGTGAAGAGGTTTTTTCCTTGCTGATTATATGTATAAAATTATTTTATACATATTATTATATGTATAAAATAGGAATCTTGTGTGCTCACTGTAGAAAATTCAGAACGTACATTTTTTTTAATAGAAGACAATAAAAATTACCAATAATCCTACCACCCGAGATGGCCGTATTTTGGTATGTTTCATGTTTTTGTTTTCTGTGTGTATCTTTTTTGTGTAATTGGGAATATATTCGTTAGGTTTTCCTGTATCTTTTTTCCCCCCCATTGGACATTACCATGACAATAAAGATTGAACTGCGGTGTGCCAGGACATTATTCACACATACTGTTTTTTCCTAACAAAAAGTCAGATGTAATTCCACCAAGTCAGAGATAACTTTTTGGTGTATTTTCCTTTCAGTAATTTTTATGCACTTTTTTGAGAAGCCCACTGTTTATGCTACGTTTTATGTTTTGTTTCTCAGTCAGATGTTTTTACTCATTGTTACTGCTATTTTCACACATCCTTAACTGCTTTTCAGGACTACAGTTTTTAATGGTTATTTAGTCACAAATCCGTTATTAGCTAGATAATTAGTTTTCAGCTTTTTGCTATTAGAATGATGAGGACATCTAATGTACATAAATTTATAGGTTTTTAATTTATTCCTTGTAAAGAGTCCTACAAATGGAACCTACCATGTAAAAGGATAAAATGAATTTATCGAATTGCCGCACCCAAATATCTCACTAAGACTTTGATTGAAATTGTTTTAAATATCAAATTTTTGCAATACTTTGTTTTTCAATTCAAGGATATGGTTGTCTTTCTAGTTAGTCAAGTTCTTGTCTTTTATGTTTCTTTTATGTCTTTGTGCTTTCCTTATTAAACTTATGTCTAAGAAAGGGTCAGTATTGATTTTTTAGTAATTGAACCCTTTCTGCTTAAATGTCATGTGTGAAATGAGTATCTTTTATGAGTCAAGTGTCATACTTTCTTCAATAAAATTATTTTCTTAATATTTGTGTCTAGGATCTGCTAAAATATACATAAAATAGTAAGCCCAGAATGCTAAAAAGGCTAAGTTGGAGTGAGGTTTCACTAATACCATAAGTAACCTCTGGTCTAACAAATTCCTGACATTCTACTCCTACTTGTTGGTTAGAGAAGCTTCCCCTGAGCCATGCATCAGATCCTGGAACCAGGCAGCAACCTTGATCCTTTCTGAAGAATGATAAAGGAAGCTAGAAACAACTCAGCGGGGGTGGGAAGACATCTCATGAGGATGCCAAATGTGCTTTTGGGATGGATTCTTCTAGTTTAACAGTTCTGTCATCTTATTATTAAAATTATTTTAATTTATTTGTTAAGGATATTTTTTAGTGAATTATAATGTTAACTTTTAAATAAATGAAGTCTTTTGGTCTTTTTGGTTTTATGCAAATAGAATCCTGCTTGTCTATGAAATGCAGTTAACACATCAGCTGGACCTATTTCCCGAATGCAGGGTGACCCTTCTGTTATTTAAAGATGTAAAAAATGCTGGAGACTTGAGAAAAAAGGCCATGGAAGGTGCTATTGAGGGTTCATTAATAAACCCTAAGGTGGTAAGTATAAGTGAGAACAGATAAGCTATAACGGGACATTGAAGAGTATATTAATTTTTCATGATGTTATAGGTTAGCCTAAAATTGTCATCTTTGGGTAAAGAGTTCTTGTCCAAGCTGTGGAGTCAGACTGGGCCAACCTTGAATTTTACAGTGAATAGAAGCCGAAGTGCCGGGAACTTCCCCAGGAGATAAGAAAGGTTGTGGTCTGGTTCTGACATAATGGCAAATGCCTGGATCTTCATCTTCTCATCTGAACTAGAAAAATCTCCGCACAGGATTCAAAGAGGCACATGTACCCCAATGTTTATAGCAGCAATGTCCACAATAGCCCAAATATGGAAAGAGCCCATATGTGCATCAACAGATAAAGATGTGTATAGGGTGCCTGGGTAGCTCAGTCGTTAAGCGTCTGCCTTCGGCTCAGGTCATGATCCCAGAGTCCTGGGATCGAGTCCCACATCGGGCTCCCTGCTCGGCGGGAAGCCTGCTTCTCCCTCTCCCACTCCCCCTGCTTGTGTTCCTGCTCTTGCTATCTCTCTCTCTCTCTGTCAAATAAATAAATAAATAAATAAAAAGAAGATATGTGTATATATACACAATGGAATACTACTCAGCGATCAAAAAAAAAATGAAATCTTGCCATTTGCGGCGACGTGGGTGGAACCAGAGGGTATTATGCTAAGCGAAAGAATTCTGTCAGAGAAAGACAGACCATATGATTTTACTCATGTAGAATTTAAGAAACAAAACATGAATATAGGGGAAGGGAAGGAAAAATAAAAAAATATGAAAATAGGGAGGCAAACCATAAGAGAGGCTGAACTCTAGGAAACAAACAGGGTTGCAGGAGGGGAGGTGGGTGGGAGAAATGGGGTAACTGGGTAATGGGCATTGAGGGCATTTGATGAAATGAGCACTGGGTGTTATATGCAAGTGATGAATCACTAAAGTCTACCCCTGAAACTAATAATACACTATATGTAAACTGAATTTAAAGAAAGAATTTTAAAAATAAGTAAAAAATTTTAAAAAGCTGTTAGTTGGGGAAAAAAAATCTCTGCACAGGAGGTGTGCATAGTGGTTAAGAGCACACACCATGGAACCATGGCCGTAGGATTTAATTCCAGCTCTGCCATTAGGACTTCGAGCAAGTGGTGGACAACCTTTAGAGAGTGCTTACTCTGTTCCTTTCCATATACCAACTCAATCTTCACAACAACCCTATGAAGTAACTACTATGATTATCTGCATCTAACAGATAAACCTAAGGAATTTGCCCAAATCCCCTCAGTGGTAAGTGACAGAGCTGGGATTCAAATCCAGACATTCTTTGCTTTGGTTTCCTCACCCACTGCATATGAACAATACTGATTTCATAGGGTAGTTTTAAGGATTAAAATAATACACGTAAAATGTTTAGAATATAGCTTTTCCTGTGATATTCTCAAATGTTACTTTAAAAATGTTTACTATTTAAGTTTCTTGCAGCTTTAAAATTCTGTGATTTTCTGAGCACCCAGCAATTTTGAAAACATAGTCCATAGAAGTTGTGATGAAGTAAAACAGCCTGACATTGGAGTTACCAAGAGAAAAGGCATGCATCTCTAGATGCTCCGCGTGTTAATTCTTTCTGTTCTTTTTGGTAGATTGTCGATCCATTTCAGATACTTGTGGCAGCAAACAAAGCAGTTCATCTCTACAAACTGGGAAAAATGAAGACAAGAACTCTATCAACTGAAATTATTTTCAACCTTTCCCCAAATAACAGTGTAATTAATAGGGATTTCACTTACTTTATTTCTGTTGACCTTGTCATGATACACCTTGTGTTCCCTCGTGTTGGATTGGAGGCTAAATTCCTGTATGCCTGTTGTATTTAACAAAGCAAAATAATAAGAGAGTTGTGGACAGAGTTGAGGTTTAGCACTGCCTCTTACTAGACAAATAAGCTTAGCAGTCATTTCACATATGAGTAAACAAAAGTTTAGCTACATGAAATGAGGATAGTTTTATCTGTCCTTACCATATAATAGCAGGAAGATCCCTCTACATGATATATACATTTAAATGGTAAAACACTAAGCATGGATATTTGTGTGTTACCATGCATATCTACTCTCCCGATAAACTCCTTGAGGATAGAATCCATGTCTTTTCCATATCTAGAAGCCTGCCGGTTACCTGGAACAGCCCTTAACACTGACTCACTCACACCCCCGGGTGTGAGGAAGTTTGGGTTTGAGATACTGGTAGTAATCAAAGTTACTGAGCTAAAGACATTCCATCTGTGGCACATAAAAAAAAAAACAACTGAAATTTTGTTGATGAAGTTTGAGTATCACCACTACTGTTAATAACACAACCAGGTACTAGTATCATCCAGAGGATAATTGGGAAACTGTAGCATGATTTAAAATAACGTTTGAAATTTTATAAAGTTTATAAAATGCAGGATAATAGAATTCCTTGGTACCTAGAGAAAAAGTTACCAGATAATTATTTCTTTGAGATCATTTGAAATAACTTGAGAAACTATTCAACTCAGTAAGCATCTGTTGGGCTGGTTCCTCTTTTGGCTACAGTTCCAGGGCAGGAGAAACAAATACACTCCTGAGGAAGGCAGGGAAATGACAGAAATCCAACTGCTCTAAGATAAATGATATAGTGGGAATAATCATTCAAACCTACGGGAACAGCAAGGAAGCAACTCCTGTAAGGAGGAGGGTGCAGCGGGGAATGCCATGTGTAGGGCAGTGACAGATGAGGGCACTCCAGGCAGAGGATGAGGGGACAAACTGTGAAATGATGGGACCCCCACACAGTCCAGGCTGGCTAGAAGGTAGGTGTGCATGGCTGGAGGGTCCGTGGGGATCAGAAAGAGGGGGTGTTTGTGTGCCACGCCAAGAATGGGCTTGACTGTGCAGTAAGGAGGTGCAGCTGTGAGCAGAGTGCTCCAGAGGCAGAGCTGGAGGGTGTTAGGAAGGGCTGTTGAAGAGAAACACTAGGTGGAGAGAACCATTAGGAAATGTAAAATAACCCAGCCAGAGAAGGAGGCTGATGGGGATAGACATAGAAACTACTGGTTTATTGTCTTTACTTTTTTTTCCCTTAGATTTCAGAAACTTTGAAACAATTTGGTACCTCGGCAAATGACACTTCAGTTCTTATTGTTTACACTGAAGAGGGAGAAAAACAAATAAATAAAGAAGACCTAATATCTCAGGTTGAAGGTCAGCAAGTTTCTCTAAAAAACCTTCCTGACATAACAAATATTACAGAAGTCAAAAAGGTTTGTAAGTCTGTATTTTTAGAAAGAGTGTGATGAAGAATAATACTGATGCTGTTTGTTTATTGATCACCAATGCTTCTGGTTTTTTTTTTTTTTTTTGAACTTTTAAGAACGTTTAATGTAATTAAAATTACTTGAAAATAATTATAGAAGCTAAGAATTAGAAGGTGCAGGTTTATATAAAATAGTTAGAAATTTGGTGGTAAAAGCATTCTCTAAATACATTCTATATTTTACATTTCAAATGCACTGTGTAAGCTTGATTTTTTTTGTTTTTGAAGATTTTACTTATTTGAGAGAGCGTGGCGGTGGGGGGGGGGCGGTGCGCAGAGGGAGAAGCAGACTCCCCGCTGAGCAGGGAGCCTGAAGCCAGGAGCCTGGGATCATGACCTGAGCTGAAGGCAGATGCTTAACTGACTGAGCCACACAGGTGCCCCTGTGTAAGCTTGATCTTTAATGTCTAGATGTATGCTTTTAAAATTGGTACAAATTTGGTTTCTGTGTTTAGAGGGTTATCACCATAACTGCAATTTAAAGGGAACTTTTTTTTTTACGTAAGTGATGAGTTGCCATCTACTTTGCATATTTTAATCACATTTATAATTTCATACCATTATCCCAGTAGTTGAATGATAATTTCACTTATACATGTTTGTATGATTAAAATGAGTAGTGCATGAATATATCAGCATGCCATAATTTGTCTTCTATTTTTACAGATATATAAACTGTCTTCACAAGAAGAAAGTATTGGAACATTATTGGATGGTATCATTTGTAGAATGTCAACAAAAGATGTTTTGTGAAATGACAGAAGTATTAAAAATTTTCAGCATTTATTAAAAAAACATGGATTTTTCTTTCTTGATTATAATATGTTCAATCGTAGAAAACACAGAATGGTACAACAAAGAAAAAAAAAGCCACTACTAGTCTCTCTTAATATTTTAAAAGATAGCCACTGTTGCTATTATGTGTTCTTGTCTTCTAGTCTTCTGTTTCTCTTCAAATATATTTCATCTTTATGTAATTGGAATAATTGGATGTTTACTAGGTTCTTGCCTTAGTGATTTTATATTCATCAGCTCATATCCCTGCCCTTACTTCTGGCTACTCTGGCATTTCCCTTCCAAGCCTGGTTCCAAGGGTTTTACATACAGGAATTCATTCATGAGGAGGTAAATTCTAGTATAACCACCATTTTACACACAAGGCAACTAAAAGATTATACAAATAATAAGTAACTTGCTCAAGGTCATACAGCTAGTATAAAGTCATGTTTTATAAATGGTTTGGGTTTTCTTTTTCACTTTATCTTCTGTTTTGATTGTAGTAGTTAAGACAGCCTTGGTCAAGGGTTGCAAACTTCTGTGAAGGGCCAGATAGTAAATATTTTCAGCTTTGCAGGCCATAAGGTCTCTGTTGCACCTACTCAACTCTTGCTATCATAGTATCCACAGGCCATAATGATGAGTATGGCCGTGTTTCAGTGAAACTCAATTGACAAAAATGGTGGGCAGGATTCGACCTGAGGTCCATTCTTTGTGGACTTCTGGTTTAGGTTAGGCTTCAATTACAGTCCCTAAAGCTCACTGGCTTCACACGACAAAAGTCTGTGTCGTGCTGGTCTGCGCAGCTGGTGTGAAGCAGTAAACACACGAGGCAGTGACTCAAACCTGGTCTACTTATCTCATGTTTCACTGTCCAAAGCCAGTCACGTGGCCTTGCCAACCTCACAAGGGACAGAGAAATGTGATCCTGCCACATGGTGGAAAGCAGGGAGGTGGAAATACTTAGTGATTTCTATCATGATCATAAATAACAAAGCACATACAGACATCGCTAACGTTTCTTGTGTGCAGTGTGCTTAGCATTTTATATGCACTAATTCATTTAGTGCTTACTACAATCCCAAGAGATTTTTACCAGCAAGGAAACAGATCTGGTCTCTGAAGTCTATTTCAGAAAGTTTCAAACCTACAGAACAATTAACAATAATACAATAAAAGTCCATGTACCTTTCATGTGAATTCACTATTCTTAACATTCTGCTACATTTGTTTGCTCTTGCCTCCTGCTCTCCTATCTGCGCTCAGGTGTGTACATACACACATGCAAGCATACACTTGCTGAATGATTCGAAAGTAAGTTGTAGACCTGGCACTTCAGCCTACAGTGTTTAGTTGTCATATCTCATCTCCTTTCATCTAAAGCAAACCTCTTAAGAATGATGTTAACATTTTTTGAAGAGCACCCTAGGTATCTTTCAGAATTCCACACTGTCTGGATTTGTTCATGATTTAAGTCAGCTTAAATATTTTTGGGAGTAACAGTAGGTAAATGTGTCCTTGCCATTGCGTGTCATCAGGAGGCATGTGTCCGTTGACCCCATCATTGGTGAAACAAAGTTTGATCCCTTGGTTAAGGTGGTGCCTCCCCCAGACGTCTCCATTACAAAGGCATCTCTTCCCCTGACAGAGTGTTTCAGCTGCCCGGGACTAACAGTCTGAGCCGAGTAACCCCAGGCTCCGTGCTCTGAACACCTCCATTGCTCTGCCCCTCCCATGCCGTCACTCACATTCTTTGTATTGACGCTGACATGTCACATACCTACTTAGTCTCCTATTTTTACACACTTATACTGCTTTCAATGTTTCACTTCCGCAAATAAATCTTTGTACGTGTTTCTCCTTCTTTGGGATAGATTCTCTGAAGTACAATTCTTGGGGATGAGAAGTTGAACTCATTAGAGCCTTTTCAGAGCAGAAAGGTGCCATCCTGCTCTCCCCACTGCAGCCGCTTCCCTGCTCCTGGTTTGCTGACGGCAGCCACCCTGCGCTCACATCACAATATCGAGGAAAGCATAACCTAGTTTGCTTGGTCTCAGAATGAGCAGTCTGTATTCATCAAATTTGCCTGTTATTGATGTTTTCATAGTCCTTTGTGCCACTGACCTCCCGTGTTCACCTCCAGATCACTCTTTACCACCTCCCCATCCCCACACCCTCCCCCCGACCCCGTTCCTGGGAGACTGACCTGTATGGCAGCAAGAGGACTCCTCCTTGGCTTCTGCTTGGGTTTGGCCAGTGGGAGGCCCACAGTAGACTGGAGAGGGGAAAAGAGTGTGAGGCCAGCATATTTATTCTCCTGACCCCTCCCTGCAAGGTCATGTGGGCTGGCTTTGTCCCTGAACCTTTCAACTCCTGGGTCAGGTTCCTGTCACCTCTCCCTCCCACCTTGCTTCAGGCCTCCGGGCAATAACACACCCGGTTCTTGGTCCCCCTCTACCCACCCACACCTTCAGAATTAGCCCCTTGGATCATCTGCATAAAATCTGCAGGAGTTACCCTCATTTCAGTGTCAAGGCCTGATACTGGCTCACTTTCTCAGACAATTAGTTGTAAGGTTACCGAACATTTCTGCAGAGCTGAAATCATTGTCCTAGGATTCCTGAACACCTTACTAAGGATGACCCATCCACCTACTTCTTTCCCCTTGAAAGGATTTACCATGATTTTCGTCCACTCATCTCCTTTAAATGATGAGTTCTCAGTAGAAGTTCAGGGCATTGGCCTGACATTGGGTTACCGGGAGCCCTGAGGAGAGGTTAGGGGAGATTTTTTCTGGGAACTTAAGTTAAATGAAGCCGAATTGATGTTCTCTTCTCCCTGAGACTTCCCAAATGTAATGCCATTTATGAACCGTCCATCTCGTTGGCCCATTTCTGGGCTGCGCTGGTGTAGTAGGGAATATTTTTCATAAATGTAAGTGTGGGGTTTTAGTGACATGTTCCTCTCAAATCCACAACCTTTGGAATAATGGTGATTCTATGAGGCCTTGGGTAGGAGATCTCAGCTTTTCTGGCCTTGGTTTCTCTTTTGTAAAATGGGAACATTAATATCAACCTTAGTACTTAGGTTGGCATGAATATCAAACAGAGCCTAGGAAAAGAGATTCCTCACAGTGCCAGGCATCCGATTTCTCTTTATGTACCAGGCAGTAGTGCTGAGGCAGATAGGAAAATAAAATACGACTCGTTGCTGGTGGGAAAGTAGAACAGCTCAGCCACTTTGGACAACAGTATGGCAGTTCCTCAAAATGTTAAACATAAAATCACCATACGACCCAGAAATTCTACTCCTAGGTATATACCCAATAGAACTGAAAACAGGTGCTCAACCCAAAACGTGTACACCAATGTTCATAACAGCACAATTCACAACAGCCAAAATGTGGAAACAACCCAAGTGTCCCTCAATGGGTGAATGGATAAACAAAAGTGGGATATCCCTACCATGGAATATTATGCAGCCATAAAAAGCCACGACCTACTGATACATGCTACAACATGGGTGAGCCTTAAAAATAAAGTGAAAGAAGCTGAACATAGAAGTTCGCCTATCACATGATTCCATTTAAATGAAACATCCAGAAAGCAGGTTAGTTGTTGCCAGGGTCTGGTGAGAGGAGGAAGAGAGAGTGACTGCGTAGGGGCCAGGGAATTCCTTTTGGAGTGTGAACATGCTTTGGAACCAGGCAGAGGTGGTGGTTGCACAACATAGTGAGTGTGCTGAATGCCAGTGAACTGTACACACTATAATAGCTAATTAAAACATGAAATAACAGAATAAACACATCTGCCTTACCTTTAGGAGTTCGTGATAGGTACCTTTAGACTCTTAGATCCGGCTGAGGCAGAGCCAGGTAGATTCCCAAGCCTCTTTTTCACCATCTGAAGGTAAGAGCCTGAAGCCTCAGCACACTCCAAGCTCCATCTTTTGCACAGAGAATGACCCATTAAGTCCTCCATCCAGAGACAGCTGCTGCCAGCCTTTGGTATGATTGCTCAGACTTTTCTCTGTGCATGCTTGTGTCTGTACATTAGTTTCAGGTTATATTTTTCCAAAAATGAGTTAAAACCTACTGTTTTATAGTTTTTTATTTCTTGGAGCTGTATTTTGACTTTTTTTTTTCATGTCAATAAATTCTCATTATCATTGTTTATGGCTCTGGGGAAGGATGAAAAGCCTGAATGGAAACCAAGACCACTGAGTTTTGAGGAGACCACAGAAGCCAGTGAGAATACAGGGAAGGAGAGCATGGGGACAGATCACAGACCTCTGGCCCTTCAGCTTGACTATTAGGTTTTTGACTGGTTAATAATAGACTCGCTAGGAAAACTCAATTGTACTTTGGAGCCCCTTTTGATTCTTAGTTCATTTTTTTTTGGTTAACACTGAAATGTTTAAATATTAAAATGTATGAAACCAATGGAGCAAATACCCATGGCTCACCCCTCAGATTTCATGTTAAACTCTCCCCTTGTGTCCTTGTTGGGTGCCAGAGACCTGGAATGTCATCAGTCTCCATCCACTGGGCCTGGGCCCTAGCTGCCAGCCTATGGTTTCTAACCAGAAGGCCACAAGATGGTACCACTAGGGGCAGTCATGATCTTTCTCTCCAAGTCTGTCTCTCCTGCATCCTCTAGAGGTTCTTGCCAGAAATGTGGCTTTCATCTCTGACCCCTTCCTCGTCCTCATTCCCATTTGGGTCATTACAAACTCCTGCCATTTCTGCCCCCAAAATGCACCTACAGGTGGGCTGGTTCTCACCATCTGGATCGCCTCACTCTGGTCCAAGCCACCACTTACTCTTGTAGGGCCTCTGCTAGCCCACGTGGCTCCTTAGTGAACACAGAACAAGGTACCCCTTTCACACAGATGCAGCCCATTGGATGCACAGCCCAGTGGGCAGTGATGCCCTTTGAGCAAATAAGAAAAAGGTGACCTTTTCCTTTGGCCAGACTCAGCTCTGTGCCAGGGCTCTTGGCTTGGTGAGTGGAGTGGGGCTCTATTTTTGTTTCGACTAGCCCTCCTCGGCCAGATGCTCTTGAACAGTGAGCAACCTGCATATCGGTCCCTGGGGGCTCTTTTTTCACCTGGACCGCTACACTAGCCTGTGGGGTGGGAAATATGTGCTTCCACTACTGTCTCCTGCCATTCACTCTCCAGATGTAGCCAGAGCAACGCACATGCGCGCAGGCACGCACACACATGCACGCACCCCTGCCTGTGTTACTGCCCACGTGAAAGCCTATCGACGGCCTCCCGTCACTCCAAACTCCACCACTGGGACGACAGGCCCTACAAGCCCAGGCCCCAGCCGCCCTCACCACTCCCTCCCTCCCTCCCTCCCTCCGTGGCCACGTCGGCCCCTTTTCCCGGAAAACCTTGCCTTTGTCCTGCCTCAGGGTCTTCACGCCTCTGTTCCCTCAGCCCCAGACGCTCTCCTTCCCTCAGCCTTGCGCACACCCACCTCTCCTCCGGCTCTCTCCCCGAGGGTCCTCTCCGGAAGGCCCTGTCACCCTCTAGGGCAGCCGGCCCCTCTCCGCGCCGCGCGCCTCGCCGGCCTGCGCACTGGCCGCAACTCCCGACGAGCTCCTGGCGCTGAAAACCTGGGCCGCCAGGCCCTCTGCTCCGGCCCATCTCCCCCACGGCGCCTCGCCCGGCCCAGCGGTTGAGAACACCTGACACACACCTTGCGGACGAGGAGAGCCTGGCTTCAGGAGCCGTGAGACCGGGGAGCCGGGCCTTGACTGCGCCGCGAGGGGAGAGGCGCGCGCGACGTCCTGGGACGGAAGCAGCCCCCTCGACGGCATCTCCGTGCCGCGGAGAGGGGACTTCCGGTTTTGCTTTTCCCTGCTGTAGTGGATCTCAGCGCAAAATGTTTAACAGCTGCTACGGCACAGGCCCTGACTAACGACCAGAACACACACCAGCTGCGCGCCGCGCTGGTGCCCGTGGGCCGCATGTCGCTGCTGCTCCTAGCGGAAGGCCACCGGGCGCGCAGTCGCTGCGACACGACACACAAGACAGAGCCTGGAACGAACGAACCAACGAACGAATGAAGATGGAGCCTAGTGAGATGAGGGCGGCGAACTGCAAACGATCAGTTTGCCTCAGACCGGGTAGAGCCTAGGCAGGGAGAGAGCCCCTTGCGTGCTGAGCGGCGGGTCTGGACTCTAGCCTGCGATGACAGCGCAAGGTGAGGCGTGCACTCCCCGGGCTCCTAGAAGCTGTGTGAAGGGGCCGAGGGTGGACACCAGAGCACATCAAGGTGCCAGCTGGGAGATGCTCCAGGCCCGAACCACCGTGGGAGGAAGAGTGTAGGCCATCTGCAAGGGCAAGGATCCCCTGAGATGTTCCAGACCCTGCTAACCGCCCCCCCCCGCCCCCGGCAATTCCCTGGCGATCACAGAGCTCAGTGGAGAATGGGCTTCCTGCTCCGTTATAGACCAGCCTTTTGATCCTGGGGTTTATGATTATTCAGTGTGCAGAAGCCAGCCAATGAGGTGGCCATCCGGGGAGGGCCTGCTTCCTGTTGAGACTGAGCCCTGGGCAGTCTCTCCTGGATGTCAGTCAGAGGCTGAGAGCAGAGGCCATCCTGTCACTGCCCTGGACATTCAAGTCTGTTGTGATAGCAGGTGAGAGGACTCAGGTTGAAGGACAGCGTCTTGAGAGAGGCCTGGAGCCTCGGACACTCCTCTGGGTATCAAGTCTGGGACTTTTTTGATGTTTGACTTTTTTTTTAAGATTTTATTTATTTATTTACTTACTTACTTACTTATTTATTTGACAGCACAAGCAGGGGAGAGGCAGAGGGAGAGGGAGAAGCAGACTCCCCGCTGAGTGGGGAGCCTGACATGAGACTCGATCCCAGGACCCTGGGATCATGACCTGAGCCGAAAGCAGACACTTAACGACTGAGCCACCCAGGCGCCCTGATGTTTGACTCTTATGCCACCTCAGCAGCCTAAAATTTGCAATCAAGGGGGAAGGAGCGTTTGTTGAAACTTTTACTTGGGGGCGCCTGGGTGGCTCAGTTGGTTGAGCGTCTGCCTTCAAGTCAGGTCATGATCTTGGGTCCTGGGATCGAGCCCTGCATCAGGCTGTCTGTTCAGTGGAGAGCCTGCTTCTCCCTCTCCCTCTGCCTGCCGCTCCCTCTGCTTGTGCTCTCTGTCAAAAAAAAATCTTTAAAAAATATATTAAAAAACAAAAAAGGGGCGCCTGGGTGGCTCAGTTGGTTAAGCGACTGCCTTCGGCTCAGGTCATGATCCTGGAGTCCCGGGATCGAGTCCCGCATCGGGCTCCCTGCT